TAAATGAAAGTCTTTTTCCGGCTATTACTTCAAATGCACGGACCACATTAAAAGCACGACGCTTTGCTTTTGTCTCTTTACCTTCTGTAATTTTATTTTACGCATAAGTTTATCAATTTCTTGGCTTAGTCAATATTTACAATGCTGGTTTAAATAATATGTAATAAAAGTAAAAAAATGAAAAGTGCCAATTAAACTGTTTAAGTGCAAAATCAATTAATTTTATTATATTAGTTATTTGAAAATTTTAATAATAATCATTGTTTTCATATTTACAAAAGAATCTCTTCAATTTCTATTAACTAACGGGTGGATTCAAGTGCTCGGTTGTTAAAATTCGCATCAGATAAGCAAATACCTATTATATTAGATATATAATCACGTTTGATAATACATAAACTGACTTTATTACTTACAGTTATAAATAACATTTACAGTAAACGTATTATGCCATAAGAAAAACGGATTTTAAATGAAGTTACAACATATATCTTTTCAGTTTTAGATTTAAATGATAATATACCGCAATTTATGGAATCAATTACATCTTGTAAGTTGTTTAAAAATGCAGTGAAAGGACAATTTGTAACGATGATAAAAGCACATGACTTAGATCTTAGTAATGAAAGCCTTTTCTACAAAATATTAGACGGAAACAACTTACAAAACTATGATATAAACAACAAGTCTGGCATTATAAGAATAAATAGCCTTCATAGGTATTCTCAAAACTATCAAACAGCTCTGAATGTATCTGTTTCAGACGGCATCCACACTTCATATTCAAGAGTTGATATTGTTATCTACGATGAAAATTCAGAAGAGCCCTATTGTGAAAAACTTGTATATGAAATAAATGTCATGGAAAATCAAAATCCTGGAATTAATATTTTAAAGGTAAGCAGTATAAATAAGAATATATAGTCCATTTTAATAAGTAAAGCCGCTGTGTAAAAACAAACACACTAAATCTATAACTAAAACAGGTTTCGTAAAGTATTTTGTTGTATCATAGCTATTTTCTACTGAAATACACAACTCTTTTAAATAATCACCAAATTTCAATACAATGTATTGGATAAACCCGGATGCTAACTAGTTTAGCAAAATACAAAATCTTGTTTGAATTTTAATATTTGCTGCCTTAATTTTGACAAGTTTCATAAAAAAATAACTCTAAAATAATATAAAAAAAACTTTTTTTATTTTTATGTTTTATTGAATTGCAATGAACGGCGTGAGCATTGCCAAGCGGCTGATTACAAAATTAAATTAAATTAAAAAAAATTGTGAAATTGAAGTTACATTGCAAAAAAACAAGGAAAGCTAATTTTTTTAAATAATTATAACTATGTACCAAACATCTTGTGGCTTTCCATCACATTTGTATTAAAATTCAATTGTTTACTTGCATGCGGCAACAATTGGCAGCTGTTTTTGATTTCTCCACGTAAGAAATACAACAGAACTTTCTGCTACGAATTACAAATGATAAGTCATTTTTGGAAAGACCTGTGTGCCAGAATAGCTAAAATCTTACAGAAAGTCTTCTGGTCGATCTTGCAATGATCTTGCGAAAGACTTAACGATCTTTGTCAGCATTGTCCTGTTAGAAGCATTAACACGATCCGTACGTTAGGCATTTAATTTTAGTCTTTGTAAACGACGAGGTTCTTTTCTTTCAGTATCAGTTAAATTGAGACGTAAACGACCTATTAGTTCTTTTTTGTTCATTTAATAGTAAAAATATTAAAATATTTTTATAGCTTGTGTTAGTGTTGCTAAAAAAGCCATGCTTTCTTTATAACGGCAAAGAAGCTATATTTAAAATTTAGGTTTTCGAATAGCAAAGAAAGAAAGGACAAAGATAAAAATTTATTTAATTTTATTGAAATTTTTTTTCAAGATTCATCCTCCAAGAACCACGTTCGCAATACTTCTGAGAGTTTATGAGAGTTTATCATTGACATTATGCTGTGCTTATTTCATCTGCGTTCAGACTTCCATTTTAAATTAATACCTTGTTAAGGTAGCACAGTTTTATTTTCGGTGCGAGACGTTGTCTTTCAATTCCTCTTCAGCATATAATAATTAGGGTGTGTATTTTTGGTAAGGAATTGCAGTGAACTCTGTTTTCCTTCTCAATGGATATTTTTGTATTTTTAGTTATTTGCGCACCATGCAAAGATATTTAACGGCTCCTCCATTGTAATTCTTTAATAAAATTAAATCTCGGCTTTAAATGTTGGAATTAAGGCAGCTATGTTTCAATAAGATCTCGAAGATGTGCTATCCATTAAAAAGAAAACAGCGTGCCATTCACAATAGAGTTTTGCGAAATTCATTCAATTACAAATGTATTTGATTTTGCAATTGCAAAGGTATTGCAATACATATTAATTTCGCATTCGTAACGACGCACAGTGTGACAGAACACAAAATTACGCGGTCAAATATAAAATTTTCCTGAAATATGGTTTTTGAGTTAATATTTCTTTTAAATCTAATTTGATTATAGCAAAATTATGAAATTTGAGCGAAATTACGATTTCGCTAAAATTGAACCAACTTTAAACCTTTATAGCTTTTTTACTATTTATTCAAAACTGATCATTTTTGATTTTTTATGAAGCTTAGGATATTGTTATTCATTGTGTGTAGCCAAATAGTTACACTTTACAACAAAACAAAAATTGGCCTGCGCACTCTATGTTTTACACCTATTTCAGGCCTCAGAAACCAGCGAAAAATTACGAAAAATATGACCTTCAATAAACCCCATTTATTTCAACAACAAATTCAATAAATAATAACAAAATGACATTTATAATTTTATAAATATTTAATTTATTTATATTTCAAATTTCAACTAAATCGGTTGAAAAATAACGAAGTTATAACACATTTTTTTTACACATAATGAATAACAATATCCTAAGCTTCATAAAAAATCAAAAATGATCATTTTTGAATAAGTAGTAAAAAAGCTATAAAGGTTTAAAGTTGGTTCAATTTTTGCAAAATCGTAATTTCGCTAAAATTGCATAAAACTGCAAATAACTTAGGAACTAATGGGCGGATCACGCCTATTTTTTGCATGAAGTTGTGTTGCTATGTACGTCAGGTATATATATAGTCCAATAAGTGTAAAAACTTTTTCTAACGATAATAAACGATTTAATATGAAAATTTTATATGGGGGTGGGTGTGGCAGTAGGCGGAAAACCATAAAAAAATATGGAATCTAGATAACAAAGTAAGATTTCCGGACACTAAAATTCAGCCTTCCACCTCTTACAGTTTTTATGTAATCTTGGGACCACGGTAAATGCCCCATATTTGGACAAAAATTTCGGGGGGTTCCGGTAGGACGATTGGGCTCAAATTAGATTTAAGATCAACTTAAAAACTATATTTTAGGAAAATTTCATGTCGATATCTCTACTGGTTCCGAATATATTGAATTTTGACCGCGTAATTTTGTGTTCTGTCACACTGTGCGATGCGCCAAGATTGTGAATTGCCCTAATATATTTATAAATGTATAAAAATATTTTTTTATAATATTTTCTAATAATATATAGTATAATATTTTACATAATATATTTATTCAATAATAAAATATTGAATAAAAATACAAGTGAAGGTTTTTTTTATTTTTCATGTAGATAACAGCGGTGGATCCGGATTGTCCAAAACATCCAAAATTATCATTTAAAATTTTATCGAGAGAAATGAATGAAATCTTTAATATATCAAAAAGTAGTGGTTCAATAAGTACTAATTATATGTTTAATCGAGAGGAAAGGATGTATTATGATTTTTTTGTCGAAGTTAGCGATGTTGGGAGAAAATCTGGCTTTTGTTTAGTGAAAGTAACAGTTGATGACGAAAATGACAATTCACCGATTTTTTCTGCCCTAGAGTACAAAGCATCGGTCAAAATGAATACTCCTTCAAACACTACATTATTCAGGGTGAGTACACGTACTTAAAATGCTTGTCTTAACTGATATTAAGCAGTATTACTGCCAGCCGTATATTTCTTAAAAAATACTCCATCCAATATATGCATTCAGAATATGTGAAAAGAGTGCAGATTTACGCTTACTCCTATTCTACATAATTTGCATAAGATACTCCCCTGAAATTTGCCAAATTCCCCTGAAGTAGAGTCGGCAAAAATATATAGAAATCTTCTTTGTGTGTGTTCTATTATTATCTAATACAACTTCGATGGTATTTTTACTTTAAGCAACTTTGTTACCTTTAAAACTATGTTTTAAAACCATGTGAAGAGGTAGAAGTTTTTAACCATGTTAAAAACACATAATTAGATTATTTTGAATTTTTTAACCAATAATAGGTGCATTCTTTTGACATGATGGTTCCAATAGAACACGTGTGGTTTAAAAATTAACATGCAACAAACAATTGTGGGAGTTCAATTGAGAGTATGTGTTTGCAGAAATTGAAAAACCAATACTGGGTTCTGACTTTCTCGAACACTATGGTGTCATAGAAGACGTCAAAAGCAAATGTGTCATCGACAAACCAACTGGATGGAAAGTATCTTGCACAACTGCACACCGCCAACACGAATTAATTTTTTCAATAAACACTGCTCACAAGTTCATAAAGCTGCTAAAAGAATTCAAAGCGCTAATCAACCCAATATCTTACAACGAAATTAGGGAAAATCAAACCGCTATCCAGCGTCATATTACAACAGGTCAGCCGGTTTATTCACGTCCAAGATGACTTAATCCACAGAAGCTCTAAACAGCAAAACGCGAATTTCAATGCATGCTGGAACAGGGCATATATGTACCACCGCAGAGTGAGTAGACCAGCCCATTAAACATAGTCGAAAAAAAGAATGAGACTTGGCGACTTGTGGTGACTATCGACGTCTTAAAGCGCAGACAATACCCGATCGGTGCCCCATATGCCACGAGCAAGATTTCACGCAGACATTAAGTGGTAAGTGTATCTTTACAACACTGGACTCAGAAAGGGCGTATTATAATATACCAATTGCGCCTGAAGATGGGAAAAAACAGCCATTACCACTCAATTTGGCTTATTCGAAATCAAAGTCATAACCTTTGGACTCTGCAATGCTGCCCAAACCTTCTAACGTCACATGAACCAAGTACTCAAAGGACTCCACTTGGTGATTTGTTACATTTATGACATCTGTATCGCTTCAGCAAAAGAGTCAGAACATTACGCATATTATTCAAGCGATTTCAGCAGTACGGACTTAAGCGGAATGTTTAAAAATGCGTCTCTGGCCAACAAGAAGTAACGTTTCTCGGTCACACCATCAACCAACAAGGTCACCAAAGAAAAGAGTAAAAGCAAGACTTAACTTCCCAAATCCAAACATGGTTCAGCAGTTAAGACAATTTCAAGCTACGGTCAACTTCTATCGATGTTTCATAGCTGGTGCAGGCGAAATTCAAAATAAAATGCAAAAACTTATAAAAACCAATAAAAATAATGATAAAACCCAATTGGAATAGAGAGAAGATACAGAATCGGCTTTCGTTACATACAAAAAAGCACTCGCAAATACATTAGCATATCCAACCACATATGATAAACTAATGCTCCACGCAACTCAGCAGTAGGTACAGCATTAACAGACTTACTTACACGTATTGGCTGCTAACAGATCGATTTCAATAAGTAAGCTGAGAGCCAGAAAGACGACGCCGAATTAAAAAACCTGCTAACTAACAATGAGACATCGTTGTAACTCAAGTGAATCTGCATGCCAAACACTACGAATTCTATTGCATGCGATATTTTAACTTAACGAACGCGTCTCTGCGTTCCTCAAGGACATGGACAGTAAGTTTTCCGGGAGATACACAATCTGGGACATCCATGAAGTAAATTATCGATCAAACAAATATGTCAGTATTTCGTTTGGCCAGGCATAAAAAAATCATAACGAAAATGGTAAGATCTTGTCAGCCATACCAACGCACCAAGATATCCAGATATAATAAAACAATAATTGGTAGTTTCAAACTACCAGAGCAACAATATTCCTCTCTACATATCGATATCATAGGGTCATCACCAATGTCAAATGGATTCTGCTACTGTTTAACGGTCATTGATCGCTTTGCCAGATGACCAGCTGCTATCCCTATGGCTGCTATCCGATATTAATGCAAGCACAATGGCCTCAACATTACTGAAAGGTACTGGAAGGCTGGATTGCACATTACAGCGTGCCTTCTGAAATAAAAACCGACTAAGGCCGACAATTCGAGTCGAAATTATTTAAAGAACTCACAAGGCTAAATGGTACAAAACACTTTTGGACAAGTCCATATCATCCACAAGCAAATGGATTTGTCGAACGTTTTCACTGCACATTTAAAAGAGCTTTAAAGTGCAGACCCAAGCAAAGGTGGACTGATGAACTACCAGTGGTGCTGTTCGCACTGAGAAACACATACAAAAACGACATCAAGGCGACTCCTGCAAAAATGGTTTATGATACGACACTTAGATTACCTGTTGAGTTTTTCGAAAGTTTCAGTAAAGACATGTCCAATTCAGAATTCGTAAAATCACTTCGAGACGTAATGGAGCAATTAAGACTAGTACCAATGGCAAACAAGACTAGTACCATATCAAAAACATTTGTACAACCAGATCTTAAAAAATGTGATCATGTTTATCTACGCGATGACACTGTTCCATCACCTCTCAAAGCACCTTACGATGGACCATTTACGGCAACCGATAGCGACAATAAGCTGATGACCATTCTACGAGAAGACAAACCAGTACGTGTAAGTATAGATCGAGTCAACGCTGCCTCTCTCTGTGATGACGAGCAAAAAACAGATCAACAGCAGACAGCACAACAGTGCAAAACATCGAAAAGCAGACGAAAATAATCAAAAGTATTCTACAAATAAAACTCAAACATCAGCTAGCGGCAGGCGAATTTGGATGGCAGTTCGATTTGCAGAGAATATTTAAGACGGTCTATAGCATAGGATCACTAATTATATCGTGCATGGTTCGCTCAATCACTAGAGAGGGAGTGATGTGGCACACGAGTCTTTCAACTGTTAACGCAATTTTAGCTTGAAAATCTAGTTTGAAAATTGCACTTAAGGCATGCGCTAGAGTGATGCAGTATTTCCCTCTCGAAATTCATTCAATTGTAAACATTATGAAATATGTAAATAGTAATAATAAAAGTGAATCTAAGTTAATATCAAAAATTGTGTTTTACTTCATTCGTTAATCATCTCTATATATTTTTTGTATTTAGTCAAATTGGAGTAGTATTTAGTCTTATTGATTTTCGTCAAAACATAGAATCAATGATATGAAATTTTAAAACTTCTGGCCAACAGGATATAAAAAAAACTTAGAAGGCTTTGGGTATTAAATTTGGTTCTTAAAATAAAAACTAAGAAACACATGCTGTAAAATAAGAAAAAAGAATTCGAACACCACACACATCGAAACAATACAAAAAATAATAAAATTACAAAACATTTCTATATTTATTTTCCCATTTTTAGGTGTTGATATATTTAAAGCAACATTTTTAAAATATTTTTGATGAATAATTTTTTTTTATTGGCTTATGGCACACCAAATACTTATTATACTCGTACACATCCCAACACTTACTGCTATATATGATTATCAAAACTAAAATCACTATATTCTTTGGGACAAAAATATACAATTTTTGTTAACTTGTTTTTGAAAATTTAAGTTTTATCTTTTATAATACACCATTTTACCAGTATGATATTTGTGGCTAAGTTGACAGGTATCTTCAAAAGTAGAGATATTACATCGAAAAATACAAGTATTTCATTCTAATCTGTTAATATTTTTTATTTATTTTTTGTTTAACTCAAGAGTTTTTATTGTTGCATTCTGTTGTTGTCAAATGAAAATAAAATTAATTAAACACGTTGTGTAAACATAAAAACTTTTTGCTATTATTAATATTATTATAATTATGTTATTACTATTATTACATTACGTTAGTATATTATAAAATAAATTTTTTTTTGTATTTATATAGGTAAATGCATTCGACTTCGACGCTGCAGAAAATGCAATTGTGAGGTATAAATTAAATCAAGCTAACGACAACATCCAAAAGTATATACATGTTGATAATATAGATGGTAGAGTTATTCTACTTCAAAAACCAGATATTTGGCAAAACAAACTTGTTCAGTTTTTTATTCGCGCTTACGATAAAGGCATACCTCAACTGCATAGCGATGTTCCAGTGTCTATTCAATTTGTTGACAGTGATATTGAAATTCCAAATTTTGGTAATTTCGAGTTGAATATAAGTATATTAGAATCGGCATTGCCTGGCACAATATTGACACAGTTATGGTGTTCTGGAAATTATTCTAAAATATTTTTGTTGGATTCAAGTTTTCCACATTTTTCAATATCTGAGACAGGATTAATTATGCTGACTGGAAACCTAGATAGAGAACTTAAAAATTTGTATCAATTCGTAGTGACATGTAAAACTATTACTATACCCGTCATGTATGCCCAAATCGAAATATTTCTAAATGTTCAAGATGAAAATGATAATTATCCCCTTTTTACAAACACAGAGTATTATGTTGAAATTCCAGAGAATACTAGTAAAGGATCGTCAGTTTTAAAAGTAACTGCAATGGATGAAGATGATGGATTAAATGCAGAGATATATTATTATTTTGAACATAAAGACTCTTCAACTAATAATTTTGATATTGACTTTTATTCTGGATGGATTTTACTAACAACACAACTGGATAGGGAAGAACAATCCATTTTTAAATTTAATGTGTGTGCTACAGATAACGGCAATCCAAATTTTACATCAAAAGTGACGGTTATTATTAAAGTGCTAGATTGTAATGACAATCCGTCTATTTTTCAACAAGAAAATTATGAGGAATATTTATTTGAGAATATTTTGCCAGGTACAGTTCTCACTCAATTTATTTTAATCGATCTTGACTTAAAAACAAATGAGATCGATTTTTATATAATTTCTGGAGACATGGACGCGCAATTCAATATAAAACCAACTGGAGAGCTGTTTGTTAATAAACCATTGGACCGTGAATTTATTTCAAGTTATAATTTAACTTTATTAGCTACAGATGGAAAATTTATTTCAGTTTCCAGTATTCTAATTTATATTAAAGACATAAATGATAATTTTCCAATTTGCTTAAATTCACGCTATGACTTAGTTATTAATGAGTCAATAAAAATTGGAACGCCACTGGCACAAATAAGTGCTAATGATGCAGATAAAGATGATAAGTTATATTATTATCTTACAGGGTTTCAGTCAGATAAATTTATAGTTGAAAAAGATACTGGCATTCTCAAGGTTATAGGAGTAATAGATCGAGAGCGAAACAATAATTACGTATTAACAGTTCATGTTAAAGATGGGGAAAACTCAACCAATGAATGCATATCAGAAATTATTATTACCGTTTTGGATATCAACGATAATGAACCAGAATTTTCTACAGAGCAGTTTATAGTAAGCATTTACAAAAAAACACAAATCAACACAGTAATAGCCAAAGTTCACGCTACCGATGGAGACATCGGCCAAAACAAAAAGTTATTGTATACATTTCAAAAAAAAAACTCGTTTTTCTACATATACCCTGAAAGTGGTATCATAAAATTGTTAAAAAATTTAGAGAATGAAAACATATCTCAATTTAACTTCACAGTAAGAGTACAAGATTGTGGAGTGCCACCTTTGTCTTCATTCACACATTTAATAATAAATATATTATATGTAAACCATAATTCACCAATATTTTTATCGAAAGAATATAATTCTTTTATATTTGAAAACTCATCCATTAATACGGAAGTTGCGAATGTATTTGCGTTATCTCAATATACTGTAGTCACCAATAAAATGATGTATTATATCATAACTGGAAACGATCAAAAACATTTTCGTATAAACTCAACAAATGGGGTTATATATGTTAACGACAGTTTAGACTATGAACAACTGAATTCTTATTTTCTTACAATTCAAGTTGTCGATGAAGAAAATCCCACCTTTTCTAGTATATCACTATTTAAAATACGTGTTTTAGATGTAAATGATAATGCACCAAGTTTTTCTCAAAAATTCTACTGCATCAAAGTGCAAGAAAATATAACGGTTGGTAAATCAATTCTGAAACTTGACGCAAATGACAAAGACTCCAAACAAAATGGTGTTATAAAATACAGCATTGAAAATATTAACAACTTTGAGGAATTCGACATTGATATGCTTCATGGCAATATCTTTACAAAAAAGAATCTAGATAGGGAGTCAACTGCTTCCTTTACACTGAACGTTAGTGCTTGTGATAGCGGAACTCCAGAGTTATGTACTTATGCAAATGTTTATGTAGAAATTATGGACGTAAATGATAACGCACCACTGTTCTCATCATCAAATTATAGCCTTGTTGTGCAAGAAAGTAATAGCATGAGTAATTTTATATTGAAGTTCAATATATTCGACTCTGATGAATATCCAAACACATATCCTTTTATCTTCTATATACATAGAGGAAATAATAATGGTCAGTTTTCCATAACGCCGAATGGGTCTCTGAAAATTGTATCCAAATTGAATCGTGAACTATGCGATCTTTACAATTTACAAATTCGAGTATTTGATAATGGTACTCCATCTCTACATTCAGATACTTGGGTTAGAATTCAAGTAGCAGAAGAAAGTCAACATCCTCCATTAATTACACCATTAGAAATTACTGTAAACTCTTTTGAGGATGAATTTATTGGAGGTTATTTAGGTCAGCTACATGTTACAGACCAAGATAAACATGATACATTATATTTTAATATCTCACAAACTGATGATGTTACCGGAATGCAAAAATTATTTTATATTAATGGAAAAAATGGCTTACTTTACGCTGTGGGCATTCTTGATGTTGGTGTATATAACGTAAGTGTTACAGTTTCGGATGGAAAATTTCAAAGTAATTCTATTGTGAAAATAAATGTACAGTTGATAAATTCTGAGTTAATAGCAAAATCACTTACAATAAGATTGAAAAAGGTGTCCGCAAAAGACTTTTTATTAATACACCAAAAAAGTTTTGTTCGTTCAATTTCTGCAGTAATGGGATGCCCTACAAAAAATGTAGTCATTATTTCACTTTCAAATGGGACAAGTAACCGAATAAGAAATAGAGCTTACTTAAAAAAAGGAATTTCACTTACTACTTTGAATGTTGTATTCGGAATTCAAAATCAACAAAATATATATAAAAATTATACCTCAGAATATATGTACACAACTATTACAAATCAGATCGAAGAAATAGAACACGACACAAAACTTTTGATAGAAGAATTAAGGGAACCTTATTGCTCGAAAGAAATATGCTCTAATGGAATTTGTGCTAATAGCATCAAATTACATAAAAGAAATTTTACTGTATACGATTTAGATATTGTTAGCTTCGTTGTTCCGCGTTATGAAGAAACAGTAAAGTGCATTTGCAAACAAGGTTTCAATGGAAACAATTGTGAAACAATTGTAGACGTTTGTGCTTCTAATCCATGCACATCACAGAAATTTTGTGTTCAAACAAAAACTTTGAAGGGTTTCGAATGTATTTGTCCAAAGGGATTAACTGGTGAATATTGCGAATCCGATGTGGTTATGTCGTTTAAAGGAAATAGTTACGCACATTACAAAATTAATAACGGTTTTGCTAAACTTTCTTCAACAAATCAATTTCATTTCAGCTTTCGTGTTATTACTATACAAACTACCGCTACCTTACTATATGTAAGTGGAAAAATTGATTATAATATACTTGAAATTTTTCAAGGAACAGTACAATATAGATTTGATTTAGGGACTGGAGAAGCGATTGTAAGCGTTAAAACTGTAAACATTTCAGACGGAAATTGGCATACAATTATGTTAGATAGAAATATAAATAGTGCAACGCTGATTGTTGATGAAAAGTACTCATCTGAAGGACAAGCACCCGGGATAAAAGTGATGTATAACACTCATAACAATGACATTTTTTTCGGAGCGGAGGTAAGACGTTCTATAATGATTGGTTATGATGAAATTCGAAGAGGATTTTGGGGATGCTTAGCCGATTTGAAATTTTCTTTTATATTGCTACCACTTCACAGATATGAAAGTAATTCAATTGTTTCCTTGAAAAGATTCAACAACATAGATTTTACATGCAATATTACCAACATATTGACTCGCCATGAAAAATGTGGAGCACAACCTTGCCAAAATGGAGGGCAATGTTTGAAATTGAACCAAACTAACTTTCAATGTAAATGTCCTCCACGATATTCTGGAAGAGCGTGTGAATTTGACTTAAATCCTTGCATTTCAATGCCTTGCCTGAATGGTGGTCTCTGTCAGTATGTGCATTTGGGAAACTATTCATGTATATGTCCATCAAAACTGTCTGGAAGACATTGTGAGTATGGAAAATTTTGTAGTCCGAATCCATGTAAAAATGGAGGGCTTTGTATAGAAGACGAAATGTCATCCCATTGCATTTGTCCCGGTTATACGGGTACTACATGTGAAGTAGATATTAATGAATGTGACAATAATCCTTGTGAAAAGGGAACAATATGTATAAATAAGCTCGGAAGTTATCAATGCATTTGCTCGATTTTTAATAATGGATCCAATTGTATTGACTTATTACATATCAATTCAATTTCGAAATTCAAAACCATAATTATTGATCAAACAACAAGCTTAATCACAGTTATTGGACTTATAGTTATTGTTGTACTTATTTTATTGTATACTATAGTGTCAAAAAATCAATCATGTAAAATAAAGAACAATTCCTCAGTCTGTAAGAAAACAATAAGTGAAGTTAATGACCTCAAATTCAAACATACTGTCAATAATTTAATGCCGCCAGTAAATGAAAACGTGTATACACAAAATACATTAGTTAACGATTTAGATATTGTTCGAAGTTATGGAATAGTAGCAGATAAATGTGAGAGAGATTCATTGGAGTTTCAAATAAATAACCAATCAAGCCAGAGACATAATATTATTCTATGTAACTATTCAGCAAGTGATCTTATTCCGAAAAATATAAGTGAGAAAAAGCACTTCAAAACTTTTAGAGAAAACAAACTTAACTATGGTAAGTCAAAACATATTAATTCAGTTGTTAATTATATACAAAAATATAAACTTAGAAAAAATATTAGTTAATTAAAAAGTCAGTGATAGACAAAAAGGAGTTATGATTTATATACGTTCTGCAATCAATTTAAATTTTTTTTTATACTATCTGAATAATCATTAAAGGATGTCAAAATAAAATTGGATTAGTCATGTTATTCGAACTCTATTGCCATTTGTTTTCTTAACCATTGTTTTAAATTTTGGAAGTTAATAAAAATTTTATGAATCCAAATCTCTACTGTTTGTGCGAATTAAATAATAAATTAATTTAAGTAATTGTTGTATATCTTGCACTATAAAATTAAGTCTGGTTGCATTTTATTTTGTATAAAAGACAAAAAAATTTTAAATAAAATCATTTATTGACTTACAATCAATGCCTCATCAATTATATATTGTTTCCACCCACCACCGGTAAGGAACATATATGTTCCGACAGGGAACATTTGTTGTGAACGAGCCTTTATTTTTTTTGTTTGTTTGCTATGACATGTGTGAAATATATTTAGTATACATCAAGTCATTGAACAGACAACATCATATTTTTTCATCGTGTTAAAAATGTCGATATTGGATAATGCAAACGATATTGGATGGAGATGACACTTTGGGTCAAAAGCAAATGGCAGAAATGTTAAATGTTGCACAACAAACAATTTTTGACCGTTTAAAAGCTATGGGAAAGATCCAAAAGTGTGGAAAATGGGTGCCACATGAATTGAATGAAAGACAGATGGAAAACCGAAAAAACACTTGTGAAATTTTACTTCAAAGACGCGAAAGAAAATCGGTTTTGCATCGGATTGTTACTGGCGATGAAAAATGGATTTATTTTAAGAATCCTAAACGGAAAAAATCATGGGTTAATCCGGGACAAGCATCAACATCGACTGCAAAACCAGATCGATTCGGCAAGAAGACAATGCTGTGTGTTTGGTGGGAGCAGAAAGGTGTGGTGTACCATGAGCTCCTAAAACCTGGTGAAACCGTCAATGCTCGCTATGCATTGATCGAGAAACGACCAGAATGGGCCAGAAGACACGGCAAGGTAATTCTGCTCCATGACAATACACCTGCACACAAACCAAAACGGGTTCAGGATGCAATCAAAACACTTGGTTGGGAGATGCTACCCCACCCGCTGTTTTCACCAGACTTGGTTCCTTCCGACTATCATTTGTTTTCATCGATGGGACACCCATTGGCTGAGCAGCACTTTGATTCCTACGAGGAGATCGAAAATTGGGTGTCTGGTTGGTTTGCTTTAAAAGACGAACAATTTTTTTGGCGTGGTATCCACAAAATGCCAGAAAGGTGGTCATAATGTGTAGAAAGCAATGGCCAATACTTTCAATAAAATGTTTTTTACTTTCCTATTAATAATTAGTGTTTTATTTTCACCAAAAAACGGTCATTTCATATCGGTACACCTAATATATTGTTATACGGATATTTGAAATTTCCCCCACCAGTGGTAAGAGTTTCAAATATACCAATCTAAGAGACTTAAGTTCAAATATTGAATCAAGCCTCGGAACGCTTGTACATCGGAGTGAAGTAAATACAAGCGAACCGAGGATTTTAACATCGGAGTGAATAAAGCAGAAGCGTACCGCAGCTTTTAACATCGGAGTGAATCAAGCACAAGCGTACAGAGGCTTTTTATATCCGAGTGTATCTATTGAAAATGTAATGTTTATTTTAATTACATTGGCAACCTCCTTTTTATATCCAACTACTGTAACCTTTTTTCTCTAATAAATGTTCGTGAAGGTAAGCATGTTTTTATTTCACCTGCGCTGACATAGGTTATGGGTCCAGGCAACGTGATCGAAATTAAAATTGAAATTGAAATTATTAAAAAGAAAAATATAAAATCTAAAGTCGTTTGTCGACAGTATTAGAAAGGTATTAATTAAAATCAATGATGAATCACGTGGCAGAAGAGAAGCTTAAAGGGGACAATTATGGTCCATGCTCCATTCAAATGAGGAGCTTATTATTAGCGCAGGATTTATGGGATATAACAAGTACACCAAAAGATGACAATGTAAAAGAATGGGAAAGGAATGATGCTAAAGCTCTTGCTTATATCAATTTAAGCATACAAAGTTCAGAACTGTTACACATATATTATAGCATGGTATCTGTGCTTGAAACAGAATTCTTACTTTAGCGGAACTGTAAACACAGTGGTTATATTTTTATTTAAAAATTATTTATTGTGTTGTATTTATTTCCTTAAGCAGAAACTTCTTCTGGGAAAATAATTTTCTTACTAAAATTATCCAAATTTTGTATTGTTAATATATTTGAATTGAAATCAAGCTTGTTGTGATGAATGAGAATGTCGACGGGTACACACATAAAACGCTGTAAAACGGCATTTGATTACGAAACATGCGAATGCGAGTGGACCTGCAAGAAAGGTCTTATTAAAAAGATTTAATTCAAATTTAACTTCAGCAGCGCGAAAAAATATTTACCACAGATGAATGAATTTTGTAATATTGCGGATTCATTAGCACCGATAGGTGTTCATCTTGAAAAGAAATTACTATCTGTCTTACTATTGTGCAGTCTCCTAAGCAGTATCGAAAACTTTCCAGTTGCCATAGACAGAAAGCAGAGATAAATTACCGGACTTGGATAATTTAAAGGCGAGATTATTAGAAGAGGAAATAAGAAGAAGCGATCAAGATACTGGCGATAGGGTATTTACTACGAATTCAAAAAGAACTAAAAAATAAGTATTTCACTAGTGATGTTAAACAAGAAAATAAGGTAAAGTGCTACAATTGCGGAAAGAGAGGTAACATTCAAGCTGAATGTTGTTTTAAAAATAATAACAAAGAATCTGTTGCGTTAAGTTTAGTAAACAACAAACAAAAACCAAAACTCTCAAGTTGGATTTTGGATAGCGATGCTTCTACGCATATAAGCAACAATGGCGCACATTTTTTAAATATGACTCGATCATCGCAAAATATATTTTTAGCATTAGGTGAGTGTGTAGACGCAAAAGGGATTGATGACATTCTCATACAAAATACAATGTTCAAGCTTCAAAATGTTTTGTATGCTCCAATAATTTACGCTAATATATTATCCGTAAATAAAATTATCTCAAATGGAAATTCGGTAAATTTTGCAAAAAATAAAGCAATTGTGAAGGACAAAGATAATAAAATATTGTTTAGTGCTATTGAACGGTTTATTTCTTATTAACTTTAAACAAAAAATACACGCGTTGTCAGTGGAAAAAAGTGAAATCTAAATGTGGCATTGTCTATTCGGCCACTTAAACTACCGATACTTAATAAAATTATCCACTTAAAATATAGTTCGCGGCAGAAAGTTAAAAGATGCTAAAACAATCAAAAATAATGAAAAATATCATTGCGAGATTTGTGCAGTTGAAAAAATTACTAGGCAACCATTTCCAAAATACGCGAATGTGGGTACAACGAATGTACTAAAACTAATTCATAGCTACATATGTGGTCCAATACGAAGATCATCTCAAGGTGAAGCAAAATACTTTATTACATTTTTGGATGATTTTTCTAGATACCAGCAGGTCGATTTTATTTCTAAAAAATGGAATGTCATAAAATCTTTTGAATCATTTATGAATATTGTAGAAAGACAAACGTGTCATAAAATAAAACGTTTACACTCCGATAATGGTTTAGAATTCGTTAATAAAGACTTTAATGAATTGCTTAATAAACATGGTATTGTGCACGAAACAACAGTAAGTTATACTACTCTACGAAATAGTGTTGCGGAACGTGTCAATAGAACAATGATGGAGATGGCAAGGTGTCCTTTGAGTTCAACTGTCTTACCAAAATATTTGTGGTCAGAGGCCGTTAATACTGCTGCTTATATTAGAAATCAATCCGTGACAAAAGTGTTAAATAATAAAACTCGACAGAAAACCAAGCGTAAAATATTTCAAAATTTTCGGTTGTAAAGCTGCCGTAGTTAATAAACGTCAGAGAGAGTCTAAGCTCGAGTCTAAAGGTGAACAAATGATATATGTCGGTTATGCGTCAAATTCAAAAGAATATAGTTTGTATAATCCTAAAAATCGAAAATTAGTAATCGCTCCGGATGTAATATTTTTTCAAAACCAAAAATTAAACGCCGTGTTTAACAAAGAAAACAGTGACAAGGAAGAATAGTTTGAATTACTGGACAAAACAGTTTAAAGAAATAATAAATGTGATCAATTGGTCGCACAACGTGAAAATGTGATGATAGATGGTGAAACTAAATTCAGAGACATTGAGTATGAAAACAACGTGTTTGAAAGTGCAGGCAGTGACGATTCTGAAGGCAATAACAATGATGATAAGAACAACCACAATAATGCTGCTTTGGTAGTCGTTTTCGAAGTAAAACTGCTTCGGAACATATTACAGCACTTCTGATAAGCGAGGAGTGTAAATCTTTTGAAGAAACGATGCAGGTAAATGATCGCGCAATATGGCAAGCAGCAATGAATGACGAGTACAAGTCATTAATTGAGAATGGAACTTGGAATCTTGTTGAAATACCATTAGTTCAAAAAATAATAAAAAATCGGTGGATTTACAAACTAAAGCGAGAGGCTCAAGGAAATATTGACCGCTATAAAGTGCGGTTGGGTGTGAAGGGGTTCACCCAAGAATATGGAGTTGATTACGAAGAAACATTTAGTCCAGTTGCAAGGTTTACTTCTATATGTTGTATTTTGGCTACGGCAGCAAAAAGAAAGATGGCTCTTATATAATCCGCTGTTAATACAGCATTCTTAAATGGCAGTTTAGAAGAAAACAACCTGGTGAAAAGTCTATATAGACTGAAGCAGGCATCAAGATGCTGGAATAAAAAAATTACAACAATTCTTCAAAGTTTTGTGTTGCAACTGTCGGAGCATGATCCCTGTGTGTTTATCAGCAATAGTGATGATGGTTCTATAATTATGACTATCTATATTGATGATGATCTAGTAGCTGCAACGAATAATAAACTTACAACTAACTTTTGGGGTAAAGTATTTTTTGGAGATTGAAATCATTCAAAAGGCTGAAGCATCAATTTGAATTGGTCAGGAAGCGTATACTAAAATGGTAATTGCTAAATATAAAATGCAAAATTCTCCAATTGTAGCCACACCTGCAGACAGCACAAGCAATGTGAGCAATTTTGTGCCTGATGCAGAAGTCAATTTTCCATATAGGGAAATGGTTGGCAGTCTTTTGCATCTGGCAGTAGCTACAAGGCCAGCTATAGCTCTTGCTGTGTCTAACGTTAGTCGATATATTGAGAAGCCACCAACAGAGCACATTAATGTAGTCAAAAGATTAATCAAATATTTAAATGGTACGACTGGTATAGGAATCTACTATCAGAGTAACAGCAATCTTAATCTATGCGGTTACAGTGATGCTGATTATGCAGGTGAAGTGCAAACTCGAAGATCTACCTCACGTTTCATTTTTATGATAGATAAAGGTATAAATAGCTAGAGTGTTCTGAGCGTCAGAAGTGCGTTTCGTTATCAACAACTGAAGCAGAATATATTGCAGCAGCTAGCGCAGCAAAGGAATTAATCTGGCTTAAGCGTTTTTGGTCTGATCTTGGGAATTCAGATCGGGTGGAATTCCGCATTGATAACTAAAGTGCAATTCGACGAGTAAAGAATCCCGAATTTCAAAAAAGGACAAAACACATTGACGTTATCATTTTATAAGGAATGAATACAATAAAAACAAAAATCAATTTGATTAAAAATTTTTTGCTGAGTAACTAAATCGTACAGGATCTACTGGTCAAGGTATATAACGACTACCTTGACATGATTCACATACAAGACCTACTAGTAAAGATGTATGTAACTACATTGACACGATGTACTTACAAGACTACTGGTCAAGATGTATGATGACTACCTTGACTACGCTTCCATTGAAAAATCTATACTGCCTTGTTTTACAAAGACGAAGCTTTTGTGTAGCTTATCGGTACATTTGCTATTGGTATTTTTGGTACTTGTTATGTTCTGTTGCTGTTGTGCACCTATGTGTAATTTCTGTGGTTTGTGTTTTCGTGTGCTTTGGAAATCACCGTGCTTTTTATTTTGTTAACTTCTTGTGTTTTCTTTTGTTTATAAACATACCGGTGGTGGTGTTTTTAATACTTATATTTATTTAATATAATAAAACAAATATTGAAGAATCAATAAAATAAATATTTAAATAGTAAATAAATAAGGAATGTATATTCTTCACTTAGTAAGGACGGACTTTTTACGTTAAAATTCCAACCAACATATATGGAAAAAACGCACTAGTCCGTACCGACACGGCAACTGTGTAAATTTGAAATTGAATAATTTTTATTTTTAACACTAATAATTAATTTGAACAATTGAATACCTTTGATTTTAATATTTCTTTTATTTGTTTATCATAATTTCTTTTATCATTATCACAATTCACAAACTAAAATTTACAAAACAGAAACACACGTTTTCACGAACGACGAATAAAAAGCAAAATAATGCAGTGGCTAAAAGATGAGAGAGCAATGCGCAAGCAACTAAAAACCAACAACGGCGAAATTAATCAACTGTAAATAAACAACAGAATAAGAATTTACACGCACACAATGACATCAAAATGCAAACCAGCCGTAAACAGACAGTTACGCTACGTTATAGTTTGGTCTGATGGGTATATAAGAAGACGCATTTACTTAGAAAAGTTAGTTAGTATCATTCGGAGTCGCCAAGTGAATCATTCGGAGACATTACCAGAGCACTGATGTACACGGAGCTAAGTATAAAGAAGCACCTTTCTATTTTTTATTTATGTATATATCTTTTATCCTTTCACTAGCAAAATATATAAGCGTGAACACGTTTATAATTTGCTACCTAATCCTTGCATAGCGTGAACACGTTGAATCCTTTCTCCAGCAAAATAATAAGCTTGAACACGTTTATAATTTGCTGCCAAATCCTTGCATAGCGTGAACACATTGAATCCTTTCTCCAGCAAAATAATAAGCGTGAACGCGTTTATAATTTTTACCAAATCCTTGCTAAGCGTGAACACGTTTATAATTTGCTACCAAATTCTTGCATAAGCGCGAACAGGAAATCAACAGAAAACAGCAAAGAACAATACGCTGGCATCAAAGAAAGAAAATTTATATCAATATCAATAATAATATCAAAATCAATATCCTGTAATACAATGCCATATAGATAAAATAGAAACATAGCATAATTAAGACATTGTTAGATTTAAGTAAATACATTAATAAAGAGAACTTAAAAAGAGAAAAAAACAAAACTTAAAAACACGGTCTTCTAATTTTTATAAATTTTATTGTAACGACCCAGGACCAACCCCTGAGTATTAC